ATCAGCAAACAGTCAGTATAAAGTAAAAACATATACAAAACCAAGGAAATAAAATGGATACACTTCTTATATGTGGTTCAAAAACTTGTCAAGGTTAGAAAGAGGTTCAGAAATTCTAAAATCGTATTGCATGCAGTAGAGGAAATTATCTAAACGGCTACAGAATAGTCGGCATCTGGAGCCATGATAAAGTCTCAAATACTCTTTCAACCTCGATCACATTGCTTCAATATTGTTTATGTGCACTCCGATTGTTGAATGCACAAAATGCTACTTGTGAACAACGACACGATGCACATACCGAAGCTTATGTAAGAGTCTGTACACTCTCCAAACATCCGTATATATTGTAGTACCTGGCTGCAACCAGTGTTACTGGTGCTTTTATTATCCAGTTCGCAATAACTGTCATAATTTGCCTTAATTAGGAATTATTTATGGGGTTTCCATCACGAACTGACATCAGCTATAATGCCAGAAATTTATTTAGCCAAGTGGATTAGAGGCTTTCGCGTTAAAACCCAAGGCCTATTATCTTATACCTGATTGATTCCTCCACAAATGATAGTCTCGCCGTTTTATTTGTTATAGCCGCTCATTGATCACGTTTTACACAAAATTCGTTGTGAACCAATCGTACGTTAGCGTTAAGCACTGAAGTTAGCACCGTAACCTTGAAATCTCTAAAACGCCTCTGATTGGCTCATCCATAAATCAGAGTCTCGCCACGTTATGTCCTATTCAGTGTTAAGCCTCATGTTAATTATATCTAAAATATGGATTTATGGTTGACTATAAGCCAATTCATTTTGATCTCATCAAAGAATGTTAACAGGGAAATTACATTATCTACATCAGATAACTATTGAATTTATTAGTGTCATAGTGACTAATGTGTCAACCAAAAGAAAACTATCCATTTTGACACTTAACCTAAGTTATTCCAATCCATTGGAATACACAGAATATAATCTATTCTATACAACATGATTACATCATTAATAACTATCTCTTTCGGTTAACTCATTACTAGATTATGCAATCATTATGACATAACCAGGAATACATCCATACTCATACACAGTTTATGGATCATTATAACACCATAACTTCATGAGAAATGTGAGTATATAGGGGTGCATACAACAAATGGGAAATCAGTGATTGATTGATTGATCCATAAATATTATGTAATACTAATCAACATACTGTATCACTTAGGATGAATTGTAAGTCGTAGGTTATGAGAATGTGATCACAATGAGATAACGATGACGATGATGATCATCATCATGATCATTGACTTAATCCACATATTCTACTATATCACGATTCATATTTCCAACTATGAATGTACTATTTAGTGTATATAATAGTCATAACGATAACTATGACTATGTTATGTAAGTATTACTCTGTGTTATGTAATGCTCAGTGACTGACTTGTACGTAACACCACAGGTATACACATAGAGATGCGTTTATTATTGTATATTAAACTAATGAATGAATAGATGAATCAATGTAGCAATTACATAACTGATAACCTGGAAAGTGAGAGATTTGTGTGAAGTTAACGATTTGATTGATTGTGAACACTTTGGTTAAATAATCGTCACCCCTATCATGAATTTACTAACCTAATTCTTAATTATACTCGTTTAATAGTTGAATTCATGAGTCATTTGAAGTTAGACTATCATGGAAAACCTAGAATCACTAGACGATCGATTCGTCCCCGTATGGGACTCGTCAGTGAAACTCGAACTAAGGACCATTGTTCTTGAGCGAACAATTGAATTATAGACCACTTGGCTGTTATCTAATGATGTCAATGTCTAACTTTATTAGATTCATGATCCCACTCAAATCTTCATCCATTGTCTGAGGTAGATACCTGTTTCAGACCTGACACAGATTGGACTCCACTAGTCACGGCTTCCTACTAGAACTCTAGGACATCGATCTTGAATCTAGTCACTAATGCGCAAATAATGTATATTATCAGAATGGGTGTTTGTGGAGATTATAGTAAATTTAACAGTTGGATTCGTGAATATGGTGTGCGGGGTTGTGGATGAACAGTTCTATGGAATCCTATACTACGACGAAACAGCCATCCAGTACTTCTAGATTTTCAATGATAATCTAACTTAGATTGACTCATGAATTCAAATTTTAAAATATTACAAGCTCGACAAATCCCGATTGTTACTTAGTTACTTACTTGTTTACGCCTGCTACTCCCAATGGAACATAGGCCACTGACCAGTATTCTCCGACCCACTCTATCTTGGGCCTTCCTTTTCAGTTCTATCCAATGGTTCTTCATTTTTTTATTTCTGTCCCCATTTCTCGACGTAATGTGTTCCTTAGTCTTCCTCTCCTCCTTCGGCCTTAAGGAAATCCCAATTGTATTACTTATAATCTAATATACTTCCATTATCATCAGTTCTCGATGAATAAGGAACCTTGTTAACGATAATGTTTTTCCAATTATATATATCAATGGGAAACATTCAACATATTTCGAAACTATAATCTCGACTGTAGCTGCTACCGCTACGGAATTTGAATTGGCAATTGCATCTGTGTGCTAATGTGGTATGGCAACTTGAACTGATGTAAGTACATACGAACTTCTACGACTGACAGTTGATGACTGGCTGACTGCAACTATAATCTTTAGAGCATTCATTGTGTCCTCGTTTGAGATGATCGTTATCCTCAATAGAAGTAAAACGATAAAAGAACTTTTCTTCTAGAAAAAAAGGAGAATATGTATCATAGAGAAATGTTATAATCTATAGAAAATACTGCTATGGTAGATGTCGATTATGAAACTCTGTCATCAGTTCTAAGTATACTTACATCATCTAATCCATTGATATCGTTCATTATGTTAGTTAACACTTAGTCTCCAGTCCTTAAATACGATGATTATGTAATTATGAATCGAAATGTTGGACATCTTTAGACAAGTGAAGATTTCTGAATGTTTGTGGATTGGTTTTCAAAATATTCGATTGAATACCATGGTACCCGATGTTGATAAGTTATTGAAATAATTTAACCATACTGCATTGAAACGTCAAGTTGAATAAATGGATATAAATGATTGTCAATAGTTGTATGGCATCGATATGCTACTGATTAGTTGAAACCTAATTTAGGTGTCTGATTGAGTCAAATGATTATGCATAAATTATATGAAACATTATTTATTACTTACATACGCCTGTTATCCGTCGTGGAGGAGTATAGGAAGACCTTTAGCATTCTCCATCGAACTCTGTCCTGAATAATCCTTTCCACATATTTCTAGTCGCTATTCATTCTTCTGATGTCTCATTCCAATTCTCAAAGAAATTCGTCTATTTGTCTTCTGCTTTTCTGTGTCTCTTCATGATTACAATTTAGGCATTGCTTCGTGATTCAATCTGATGATTTGAGTAATGTATGTCCTACCCACCTCGAACATCTTTTCCTAATTACCTCTGCAAGCAGGATCTGGTTTTTTCTTTCTCATATTAGGTTATTGTTGATGATATCTGGTCAATGGACATTGGGCATTTTGCATAGACAGTTGTTTATAAATACTCGTACATTTTGACGACGGTTGTGGTAGTTCTAGAAGTTTCCGCTCCGTATAGTAGTAGAACTGTCTTGATGTTCGTATAGAGGATTGTGAGTTTAACGTTTGTTGACAGTTGTTTTGAGTTCCATATGTTCTTCGATTGTAGGGCTGCTTTATTTGATTTACCAGTGTTTTCATTTACATTTACATCAGATGGTCCTTGTTCATCGTTGATGTTGTCCAGGTAGGTATGTGAAAGTTTCCACCACTTCTAGTTGTATGCCAACTGTCCACTATCTTCTGTGATTCCTCTGAGATGATCTTCATAATCCAGTCAACCTCCAGAAGAGAGAGATCGAAAGGGAGAGAGTATGTAGCTTTACCTAACTCATATAGAAACATTAGTCAAATAATATTCATTGTTGAACCTTTTAGCATTTTAATCATACAAATTCCATCATAACCAAGCACTATTCTCTCAATACATGTGAATTCAAACACTTCATTTCATGAATGGTTATGATTAGTGCAAATGTTTATATAGGAGATGTGTTTTAATGATGGATAGTACAGTGTATACAATTTAAACACACTTGGATTATTTGTGTTAGTAGTTTAAAGCAGTCAACAGGAAACTCTGGAACAAGGGTTCGTACTATTAAGCCTTCTGCTGCAAAATATACCTGGAACATGGCCTGGAGCCCCTCTTGGATACTACTGGTCTCAAGCCTGAATAAACGAGGGGGGTTGGGCATGCGGTTAGCGACACAATCTCGTAGAAAACTAACTCGCTAAAAAGAACGCTAACAATATATATATATATATATATATATATAAATTTGCGAGAACTGTTGTTCCTTGAAGGATGAGATCCCATGAAATCCTGTTTCCCAATCAGATATACCATCTATAAATTATCCTGGCCTAGGCTGACCTATTTAAGTTTAAAACTACACGATAGTAGAAGAATTAAATTACCAAATAGTTATATAACTCTTAAAAGATAATCTTGACGAAATCGTATGAATCTTTTACACTCCATGTACTCAACAAGTGAGTGAACACTAAATTGATATGATTCATAATATCCCCTAATAATCTGATTTCAATTAACCACTATAAACACATACACACATGCACACACATGAATACTCCATTTGTAATCACCACATCAACAAACTCCTCCTCCTCCTCCTCCTCCTCCTCCTCCTCCTCCTCCTACTACTACTACTACTACTACTACTACTACTACTACTACTACTCCCACTCTCTCCATTCACATTCTCCCGTTAATTATCCAACATCTATATTCAATGATGTGTCCAATTAACCAACATACACAACACTGATTCTCTGACAACTATTACTGTCCATTTAATTAATCAATTCATTAATGTCAATCATCATTTTCAACATGTTGATT